TATCGTTGCCATATAATAAGTTTATCTTCGGAAATATTTTTGTAGGAATCCACAAGATAGACACTATTAGGATACCTACCCACTGGGGTTATTTCTTAGTTCTACTTTGTTGTTGTTTTTTTCCCTGCAATGCTTCTCCCAGCACCACAGAGAGAGAGCAGGAAAAACAGCAAACGCAGCAGAAGCAAGCAAGAGTATGAAAGTTCATGTGCAAAGACACTTTACCCCTGTGGGGATGGGAGTTTGTATAATTTGGGGTCTATATAAATGTAATTCTGCAAGGAGGGAGCTCCAATGGGAAGCCCAACATTACAAAGGTACATTCAGATTAGAAAAGTCGGTGGTTATAAATTGCTGGAGAGATGTTCTCTGAGAATCACTGACAAAAACTGCAGATTTACTATACACGACCCCTCTATTCCAGGCAGATAGTCCCCATGGTGTGACTGAAGATCCAGAGAGAAGCCATGGACTAGCCCTGGGACAGGAGGAGCATTTCTGTTCAGGTACAAGTGGCATTCTCCAATATCGCTGTACTTGTGTGTACCCCAAATATAGTTTTAAATGGTTCTTTTTTAAAAAGACCAATATCTGCATTTTGTACTATACTATTTTAATTTTAAGGTTATTATACATTGGCAGATTTTAAAACATGAATTTTACCTATTAAACAAGTTAGAGGTGAAAATATTTACATATGAGTATGACCTGTATATAGTACCAAAACTACACATTATCAAACTAATTACTATTCAGATGCAAATATCAGATATTAATAGGTCGTATTCCGGGACTTATGAACTTTTCTCCCAGAGATTTCTAATTATTTGACAATAACAACTACCGAAATTTCATTATAGCTCTGTGAAATAGATTCCTTAAAGGGTAAAAAATAACAACGACAAACATTTATGGAGCTTAACCAAGTTTGTAAATCAAGCTAAAAAACCACCAAGTTGTGTCCAGATTTCTAACATCATACGTGCAATTTAACAAATAGAGTTGCTCTGCTTTTAAATCTATTGCAAGAGTCAACACACATAAATTCCACGTCTCTGGTATTTAAACGTAGAGTGGTTGGTTTTTTCCCTTTCTTCTGCGATCAGTGCCACATTCTCCTTCCTAGGCAGTATAGTGTAGTGGAAAGAACTGGCTTAGAATCTGACAGAGGTGGATCTGAACGCTGGCCCTACCCCTAACTGGGTTGTTAGTTAACTTCTCCCGTATCAGTTTTCTTGCGCTAAAAGGGGCTAGTAATATCTATTCAATAGGGTTGTTGTGGAGAAAACGGGTTTAAATGAGATGATACATATAAAATTCACAGTGCAAGCTAAGGGCTAAATATCAGAATCCTTGCTCAGCGCCCTGTGCAGTTTACAAAGCCATTTCACAGACACGGCTCTTCTTTAATTACACCTCCATGAAACTGACCTGGAAACGTAATCCCAATCTTCTTAAGGAATAAGGACATGAGGATTCTCAGGGGGTGAGGTGGTTTCCCTAAAGAGCACAGCCATGGGTGAGAGGCTCCAGCACTTGGGTCTGGTTGTCTGTCCACGTCCGGCCTGTGCCAGCAATAGTGAATTGAGACAAACACCTACTTTCTTTTCCAATTTACTACAGTAGGGGATGAAATCCTTCTAGTGAATTCTCTTATCTTTCTTATCCATCCCACCCTCCAAACGTAAATTGCAAATGTGCTGTTTGGTATAGCCTTGGCCATGGGGACGATCCAGCCCAGGTGACAGCAACACTCAGCCACGGAGGAAGGAGGAACAAAAGCCAGCATGCTTGCCTCTGCCCTGCGACATTCTCCAGAAGAAACCAAGCCATGGTTCCCCTTCCTGGGACAGGGAGACGGGAGCTCTGATTTGGGGGAGTGAAGGGCAGTTTCCCTGCCTGAGTTTGATGCAGACAAATTATGAATTCTTAAAGAGCTTTTCTGAGCAGTTAAACTTTACCATCTCCAATGTCTTGCTGCCACTGAGAAGCAGAGCTATCACAGACGCACAGCACAGCGAGGCGGCTACCAAGACTGACCAGTATTGCATGACCCGCACTGTAGCTTCAGGGAAGGGGGCGCCAACTCTTCTCCTCCTCCTGTCCGGAGGTTGGTACCTTTGTGACATCTTTAACAAGTACACTGACATCTACTGACTGCTGTTGCATTAGGTTTCATGGATCGAGGATGCCCCATGGTCCCTTTTGAAGAATGGTATGGGGCAGGGAGAAAGGGTCCAGGCACTAGGATTTGCGTGAGACCCACCACATCCCCTTTGTGCTTAAAAAGGCCTAGATTTTCAGTTCTAATATTTGGCTAAAAATAATGCTTGGAATCTGGTTTCAAAAAATTGTAGCTTTTGGGGGGGAAAATCATAAAAATGTAAAACATCAAATTATTTGTTAATATCCTGACACCTTTAATCAGGCCTGGGTATTGCCAAGTGCTATTTGCCTTGAGTGAGCACAGATACAGCCTGTACACCCCTTTACTTGTAGTTTTAGGTAAATTTTTTTGCTAGATTTAAGCAATGTGATAATCAAGTCTATTACGCTACTCTGGATTGTTTCTTATTGACAGGGTCTCAAAATAATCTTCTCATGTGGAACAATGTCTGTCTCCTACACATTTATCCAGACTTTACCACTAACCAATGTCTAAAATCTAACACTGACTAAGTAATAGAAATGAAGTAAGAAATTTAACAGGACAGTGATTATTTTCAATAAATGGTTTGGCAATTCCAATCAAACTGCTCGAAAATGCAAATCAAGAAATACAAACTAAAGCCATGTTTCCTGGTGGTGGTGGGAACAGCTGACGGTCTAGGAAGGGGCTGCACGGACAGGCAGATGCTCAAGCAAAAGCAGAAGACATCGGAGACAATGGAACCATGATACAATGTCAGTTAAAAACTTTTCTTAAAGCCTCAGACATAGAAAAATTTTTTAGATCTCACCTGAGATTATGAGTTTGATAATCAGTCTTCCCATCTTGGAAACGTCTATAAAATCATCGTATTCAAAACCATGCTATGCAACTGAGAAGACAGCATGCACACCCTGCCCCATCCTGATGCCTGGAATCACCAGGCTAATGTGGCCCGGGCCAGACTTCTCATCACCATTACCCTTTATCTTGTGACTGAATGAACCATGAAGGCAAAGGATTCTAGAAAATTCCAAAGCCAGCTCACAGCAGCTTGAGAGGTAAGAAGACGGCAGGACTCCTCAAGTTATGCAACACTTGTGGTTTCTAAGCAGTGAGCAATGAAACCCCTGCCTGTGCAAGTGCCAGGCCAGAACTTTCTAAGCAATTGCACATCAGACAGCTTCCTCATCTGACATCTGTTTTTTGAAAACACAAGAGAACTTAGGTGGCAGCAAAGAATTAGAGAGTGCGAAGGAAGGTACATCGCAGAGGAGGAGGGAGCCATGGGAAGCAGAACAAACAAAATAAAGGAGAAGGAGGAGGTGACACCAAGAAGAGAATGAAAAGGAGAAAAGAGAGAATGGGGGCACCTTGAAAGACATACCTTCAATTTTCTCCCGTTTCCCATATTAGTAAAAAATATATTTTTGGTTGCCCTGTTCTTCGTGCTATTATGAAGAACAGCAGGAGACCGATTTACAAAACCAGTAATCCAATCTTGGCTCTCAGCAAGTAGAAGCTGGTATTTGAGATGTGAAAACACTATAAGGTGTGCTCGTGGGCAGCGTTCCTAGGAAATTTCCCCATGATTCTCTTCCCTTCATCGCCCAGCCCGGCACAGAGAGTGGCACCTAAGTCTACTCAGAGTGGAGACTAGAGAGGAAATTACAAAATGACTCAGAACAATTTCTCAGAACGTATTTTTTTTTAAAGTGAAAGCAGCTACCCTGTGGGGCTGGGACATTATTAAAAGGTGAGACTCTGTTATGAGTGATAAAAGGCGTAAATGAAGCTTGGAGACTCAAACACATCATCTATCGCACAATCAGAGATTTCATTTGACTACAATCTCTAAGTGCACAAAATATTTAAAGAAGGCATCAACGTGACTGGGCCTCTTAACAATGGCTAACATCTGAGAAGGTCTCTGTGCAGGAGATTTAAGGAACAAATGAACTGTGTGACACCACATCGACCCCCATTCTTGGTAAATATTAAAGAGAAGATTGTTAAGATTCATGGTGCCCACATGGTGGCCAGCCAAGATAACATTGTAACTGTGGCTGTTGTTCCTTCAAAAGAAAAAGAAAAGAGTGAGCAGCAACAAAGACTTAGCTCCCTTGCTGATGTGACAGTGGCGGGGGGAAGTCCTCCTCTCAGTGGCCTCAGAGGAGAAACACAGGAACCAACTGCTGCCTAATTATCCAGTGAAGTGAGCATAACAACCACTCCCCCCCAGTCCCTCGGGTAGCTGTTTGTTCACTAAAGCAAGTTCTAGAGACCTTTGGTTCAGGATCAAAATTTAAATTCATGTTCCGGAAAAAAAAATCACCTTTTTCCACTAACTACAGAAAATAAAACTTTTTCAAACCCTACAACACCAGCACATAATGTAGCAATTGGTGTTCAACGATCCGGAGGTATCTAACCACCACCATCAATGTTCTCTCTTCTGGTCTCAACCTAATAATTAATAAATTATTAATTTATTATTATTAATTATTAATTTATGCCTTCGAGGGAGGGGTCATCGTTTATTTTATGCTCCTCAATGTCTCTTAGCATATTAAAAAAATAAAGCGTTAATAGCCAATCCCACCCAACCAATGAGACTTGAAGATGAAAACGAAGTTCAAAATGCCACTTGACTAAACAAACACAGTACTTTTCCTATTGTAGGTACTTGATAATTGGTTCTGTAATGTTAATAATATTAAGTCAAGACAGAAGCTAGGCTATGCAGACGTTTACTCAAAGTCAGAATTATGAACCTAGAGTTCATAGATCCCCAAGGGGAGAATCCACGGGTAAATTGTCATAAGATGAGTGAACTCTGGAATTGACATACGTGAGCAATCTTCTGAGGGTCCATACCGCTCATCAGATTCTCAAACGGTCTGCTCGCGATAACTTCCTAAACACAGTAAGAGAGTAAAAGACCAGAGCAGATATGGGAATACGGTATCTGACAATCCTCACCTTCATGTCCCATTACCTTAAAACCTCCACAAATCTTAGATGTTTTAATGTCAATAACTGTGTGAAGGACAACAAATGACCACTGCTAATTCTAACTGGGTTCTTCTTAAGTGCTTTTTTTAAGCAGCTCTCCATATTCATGAGGAGAAAAGGCTATATCAAGCAAAGTTCTGCTTTAGCTCAAGTATTTAAGTAGCAAGGCAGACCGGGAGAGGCGTCAGAGCAGTACAGAGCTGGGATGGCCCTGTGGAGACTGGCAGACCCGCCCCTCAGAGACACAGGAGTTTGAGGACTTATCCAAGGAAAAAGGGACTTCGGTGTAAGACTTGGGGCAAAATCCCATGTGTTCTTCCTCTGAGGCCGCCTTATGTCCAGACAGCCTCCCCTGAGAACATGCAAAAGCCTACAAATGGGGTTTACTGAGGTTAGGGTTTGGCCTGAGAAACTCAGACTCCATGCTTTCTTCTCCAAAAAGTGAAATTACACTGAGGTCTCCATAACTATATCTCCAATCCAGGAAGCCTAGAAAGAAAAGAAAGATGGAGACACAGAGGGCTGAAGGCCACAGAGGATGAAGATGGAAGATGGCAGAAGGCTACGTTCTCCCCCACGACCACAGCTAAAAGCCAATGGCCCATCTTCAACCAACACAGAACCCGGGGAACTCGCCCTCCAACCCCATCTTGACTTGTCCAGGCAAGCCAGAAGGAAGGACGAGATGTCAAGGAGCCTGGCTGGAGACCCAGTCCCACCACCCAAGTTGCAGGGAGCTGGCTGGCTACTCCGAACTGTTGTCTCCTTGGAGAGGACAAACACATCCCTCTTACAGTCTCATCTCAGAGAGGATGGGAGTAAAACCAGAGTCCCTGCTGTTTCAAAAAAGAGGAAAGGTCAGGAGAGGGCTGCACAGAAGTAAATGCACCCCACCAGCCATGAGGCGAAGACCAGGCACGTTCGTAAGGCATCTCTGCTTGGTCAGGGTCAAATCTTTGTGTGGCCTTGGCTCTGGGGAGTGTCCAAGTCACTCTCCTGTGAGTCATCGTCCCAGCAGTGCGAGGAAGAGGGTACAATTATCCTTTCAGCACTTGGGCTGCTTCCACACAAGTTAATTCCAGTGCCGGCTTCTACCTGACAGGCCTGATCCACGGCCCACCCCGGGTGACTCACGCTGAGCCTCTGCGCTGCCTCTTCATGACTTCCTCGTTTTTTTCTTCTTCATTTTGTGACCCTGAAGATGACTCGCAATAACAACTTTTTCTTTTTTCCAGAAAAACAGGATAAAAAGGGAAAGTCTGGAGGAGAATGAGAATGCAGGGGACAGAAGAAGGCAGGAAGGAAAGTGCTGAGGGGCCAACGGGGATGGAGGGAAGAAAGAGGCTGGAAGGGAAACCAGCCCTGCCACAGTCACAGGAAAAGGGAAGGGAAGAAAGGGACTCCGTGGCCTTAACCCCACCAGCTTCGCTGTGAGCCAGGTGGCATGGTCCCCACTTCACAGATTAGGAGACGGAAGAGTGAGAGGGCAAAGCTGGCTCCAGGCCTCCCAGAGCTAATACCATGCCACCCAGCTTCCAGAACAGTCTTGTCCAGTTCCACATACTCTGCTGCCTAAACATGCGTGTATTCTATATTAACACAGGGCACACAAGTCTTGTGCCACATTTGTGGCACACTCACAGCCTCCTACGGTCTCCACACCCCGACCCCAGCAAAGTCTCACTCAATGAGCAGTCCAGTGTCTGAGCTCTAAAAGCCTTGTTGGCAAAGGCACAGACAGCTGATCGCTTGGTGCCTCACCCTGTTGTCGGCAATTTCTGTGCCCTGGACCCCATTAACCCATAGCTCAGCCAACAGCAACAGCCCTCCCTCCACTTTTCAGTTTGCGTCTGTCCAGGGACACACTAGGCCTAGCATAAACCCCTGGAGGACCCCGCCCCACAGTCATGTTGGGAGTCTGCGGTTGGGGAGGGAGAGGAGAGAGAGGTCACCACCAGCAACATTTCTTCCCAGTGCCTTCTTGTCAACTCCACTGTTCGTCCTCCTTCCTCTGGACAGGCTCTCCCTTCCTGCTGCCTGCCATGCACCTATCTGCTCAGTGGTCACTTCTGAGTGCTCGCTGCCGCCCCACACTTCGAGCTCAGTGCTTCCGCTCACAGCTAGCCTCCCCACACCCTGCCCTAGGATTTGGTTTTCTTTCCTTCTTTCTTTTTCTCATTTGACACTGGGCAACATCTCTAAGCCTGCTGGATAGAGTAAGTGACCTTGGCAACAAAGATGACAGGACTCTTGTGTGGTTCATGCTACAGTGATGTCCCTTTCTGTCATCCCCGTGTCAGGGATCAGAATTGGCTACCCCAAAATGCATCTCTTTGGTTAAGGACAAGAGACCCTGAAAGAAACTTTGAGCTTCCCCCTAACTGCCTAAAAGAATTTAAGATAGAAGGCCTGTTCCAGGACGGACCACCACCTTAGATAACTCTGGGTATCGTAGACTGTGAGGGTCCTTGCTAAGTCCATTCTTATCAAAGTTCTGTCTGCCAAACATTTGCTTTTCCATCTCCACGTGAATTGCCTTCCTCCCCTTTGAAGTCCCTAACCACTACCCCCAACATCATCCTTTGTCTTTAGCTGAAGGCGATATTTAAGGTGGTGGCTTTGGTCATTCTGGTGAGTTGCTCAGTTTTCCTGGGTTTCTGCCGTGTATACATGTTATAAAGCTTTGTTTGATTTTCTCCTGTTATTCTGTCTCGTCCATTTAATCCTTAGACCAGCCAGAAGGACCCAGAGGGTAGAGAAATTGTCTTCCTCCCCTACACCAGCAAAGAGTTGGCATCTTCCCAACACATCAGCCCTAAGGATCAAGAACAGACCAAGAAGAGCAAGGCACAAATACCCTGGAGCTAGGAAAATGGAAATTTTAAACAAAATTCCAACAAGCTACAAAGAGATCAGATGGCCTCCTAGACTCCAATGAAGACTAAGCACAGTCACTTCAAAAAAGTCCACAAACCTGCCAAGTGCCGGCCAAAAGGAAGCAGGGTGTTAGTAACGCAGAACAATTCATTTCAGAGCCGGTGGAAAACTCAGCTCAACTCTGATCCTTCTCAGCCTGTGCCTTTGGCACCTCTCTGTGCCCTGAAGTGGCGCCTCTCTTCCAAATGCAAAAAGCCTGCCAGACCTCCTCGACTGCTAGTCAGTCACAATTCACTAGGCATCTCAATATTCACAGCCCACTCCTGCTAAAGATAAAGGCAGTTTGAACACATACTATTTTGATTTAGTCATTGGAAGCAACCCGTTAGAAAAGGGCAACAATTCCAACACCCTACACAAGAAAAATAAGCTAAAAGGTGGGTGGTCTTTATCTTCATGCAGATGACAAAGAGCTGGGAGGACTCGATGGCCAAGACCCTTGGTTTCCAGTTCTTTTTTATCTCATGGGACAGCTCAGCAGGGTTTGACCACTGACACTAACTTCAAGAAGACGGGGTAGGCAGCCAAGATGGTTAAGTCATACGCTAGGTGAGCAGAGGGGGAAAGCATTCCAAAACACCTATGTGTATGAGACACATTGGGAAGGGGGAACTTTTAGCCTAAGAATCTCTCATATTTGTGCTTCTAGTCGTACATGAGCCTCTCAACAGCACATGGTTAGTGGTATTGCTATTTTTACTTACAGGTGAGGACACAGAGGCTCAGAAGGGTTGGGTACCTTGCCCTGGGAAAGCCTGGTGGACCAGGATACAGATTCAGGTTTCCGCCCATCAGGTGGAGATTCCATTATACCACTGTCTATAAGAAAAGGCTACCTGGTATTCAGTCATTGTGAAAGATTATTGCCTCCCTAGTGGAGAATGTCAGACTCCATTTTTCAGAGACAATGGGTTTACTTTGAGGATGCTCTCTCTCTGTCACTCATATAGGGATTATGTCAGATGACATGCCTTTAGAAATAGGTATGTTTAGTTTAAAAAAGAAAAGATCATGATTATATTAATCTATTGAATAGCAGCTATGCAGAAAGACTGCTATTTATAAATAAATGATATCTTAATTTGACTTTTTCACAAAAACATCTTATACCCAAACAGATCTTGAAATAATACAGGAGACGCCAAGAAAGGTGAGAAAGATGTATAATTTGAGAATGTTGGAATACAAATCACGCAGCCCAATAATCTTTTTGTCTTCCTTCAGCTTCTTAGAGATGCAAACTCTTAAAAGCAATTCATGTGACAAACTCAAAAGGTTAAGCCAAGTGGGTGAGCAGGCATTAAATATTAAATGCCAGTTATGCTCGTGCTGTGTACTGACACCTAGCTATTAGCGCATGTCCCTTTTTCTTCCCTTGAAAAGATAAACAGGACAAAATATATCTTCAACATGATTAAATTGCAAAGAGCACAACACACAGTCGTCATGCTGTACATCTCCAGATTCCCAAAGCTCTCTGTTCTAGCGATGCAACGCCTACGAACTGTAAAAATAATTGCTGCCAGCGCTACACTAGGTGATTACATAAAATTCTTCCAAAAAGCTGAAAAAATATTTAATCAGGAATAACTAAAGTAAAAACTCACTTACCTTCTAGAACACGGCTTCGCTTTTGTGGATTTTCTTTTACAGCATTAAGCTCATTATAAGTCTGTGCTATACTCCAAGGAAATTTTCCAAAGCATAAAATTATTTAGCATCTTCAAGTAATTCCTCTCTCTTTTCAAACGTATTTTACAGAGTAAATATTTGAAATTTCCCTAGGACTTCCTGCTATCTTTCTATTTCAAAAGGACAAAACTATTTCAGAGATCCACGTGAAGACCTATGCATCCTTGGAATGAGAAACGAGAAGTTGACGATGCCACAGAAGAACTAGTATCCGAAAGCAATTCTCTTCTCCTTAGCTGCAAAGAGTGCTTAAAGATTACTGTCAGGATTCCTTCTGGAAAGAAAGGCATATCTTCTCATCTGCATAACAGTCTTTAGACATTTTAGAGTCAAATCGACTTTCAAGACAGAGAAAAGGAAACCATGCAAGCATGCCCACATTTGGAATAGAATCCACACCCCTGAGCATCAAAGCCCTCGTTTACTTACATGCTGGACATGAAAAGGAAAAGTTCAAAGAAACCTGCTCCCTCGGGGAGAAACGATCACATCTACAGTCGGCTGTTGGGAAATGAGTAAGACACGCTCTCTCTCACTCTCATCCCCAGGCAATGAAAAAATCCCAAACTGTTCTTCCAAGTCACACTCACAAGGACGTCCTAGCGCCACCAAGCTCTTCCTCCAAGGCAGCACCGGTGGTTGGGAAAGGCTCACCCCCTTCCTCTGGATTTCCACCCCATGCTGGGAGCCTGCTCGCCCTGGGGAGGCACCAGGTCAGGGCACATGCGGAGACGACAGAACCACAAAGTGCCACCTCTTCAGAGCCAGCTCAGGGAGCTGAACATGGAGCACAGACAGCATTTCTGCAGGGACTGCTCAACACACCTCAAGTTCCCAGAACAAACCAGAAACTCAACCCCCTCACCCAAAGAGAAATTGTTTATTCCTTTCACACTCCAAACTGTTACCATAGTGCAAGCTAATTGCTAACAATACTGAAAAAAAAATCCCCCACACAGTAGAGGTTGACAGGGGCACACAAAGAGCCGTGACAGTAATAGGCACCCTTGAAGAGAAAGAAGGCAATCAATTATGAACCATTTGCAGAAATTGTGGGGCTGTCAAAAGCCCTACTTACAGCTGTGTTTCATCAAGCCAGGGGGCATTTGATTTTCAAGGGAAATTATTCCTTATTCCGAAGTCTAGAATATTGTTAGGAAAATATCCCAAACAACCCAGGTTCAGCCAGGGTCTAATCTGAAAAGAAGCTAATGACCTCTGAGAGGGCTAGATGGGCCTCAGTGGGAAGCCCACAAGGCAGGTCTCCTCACTGGAGATGACGACCTCCTGTGGGCACCATGGGGCAGCACTAGGGTCATCCCGAAAGGTCCACGCCCACACACACTGGGCATGCATCACAGAACTGCAAAATCCATTTGGAAAACAGAAAAGGATTGCTTTTAGACATAATTTGATGTTTCTAGGAGGCTAAAAATAATAGTAACAATAATAATAATAATATAGAACAGAAAGGTTTTTTTAAGTCTCAGATTGAAAACTTTCTTTTCACTAATACCCATCACAACTATTATTTTTGGTGGTCACCAATTCTCCTTTCCCAAGGAACAAAGAACATGTAAACTGAGAAACCGCTTGGCATTTGGCTAGGATTTCTTTAAAATGTACTGAAATCCACTATTACAGATAGATAGATATCTTCAAATTTGAAAAAAGTAAGGTAACTACTTTAGACTTGAGAGGAATTTGGCAGCAAATGGTTAACATGCAAATACTCCATTTCCGTATTTTTTCCTTCTGTGTTCTTTGGTATTTATATATTTGCTTTCTTATTTAACTATTTTAGCAATGAAAATTAAAGTCCAGATAACTTCAATTTCAAGCTGAAATGCAGCTTTCACTCCTTTTCTAAATTTCTTTTTCGTTGTTTAAAGCTGTTTTTGCTAGGGAAGATTTGCCCTAAGCTAACATCTGTGGCCAATCTTCCTCTTTTTTTTTTCTCCCAAAAGCCCCAGTGTATAGTTGTATATTCTAGTTGCAAGCCCTTCTAGTTCTTCTATGTGAGCCACCACCACAGCATGGCAACCAACAGATGGGTGGTGTGGTTCCACGACTGGGAACCAAACATGGTCCACTGAAGCCATGAGAGCACCAAACTTTAACCAGTAGGCAACAGGGCTGGCTCTCCTTTTCTAAATTTCTAACTGACGCTTTAAGGTTCATTTCATAAATGCTTTGTTTAATTATAATATGCACTGTTAAATAATAGAGTCGAAAGTGGCCACAATGTGGTAACTTCTTGCATATTTATTTTACTAAATCTTAAAGTAAAAGACAATTTGGAAAAGAATTTAATTTCATTCTTTAGAACTTTAATGTGGAACTCAAACAGATTCTAACATAAAGGAAACCATCATCCCTAATGGTGTTAAGTGACTTCCCCAAGCTGCCACACTGCGCAGTGCCCCACAGGCACACTTACCTTAAATAGAACACCCAGATTCTTGAGTGTTTCAGAAGCATTGGCTTTTTAAAAGAATTTAAGACAAAACAATCAAAACATATTTATTTAATTCTCTAGGGTCTATTGCTTTAAAAACAACAACAACAAAAAGATGACTATTAGCCACGATATTGGGTTCCCAAAGGTAAATAACCTGGTAGAGATAGAACAGAGTGAGACTAAAAATGCTGGTGATTTCAGTTTAGTAAAAGACATTGCATCCTGGGGGCATAACCAGACCAGTGAAGGCAGCTGACTATTTGCTTTGTATGAGGAAGAGAAGAGAAACGAAGGGAGATTTTGGAGGAGGTGGATAGGGAATGGCAGAGGAGAGCATGGGGTGAGAAAGGGAAAGAAGAGGAGAGGAGAGGCCAGGTGCCCGGGGCCACTGGAATCCTCTCTGAAGCTGGCCGGCCTCTAACCTCATCCACCCTTCTCACAGTGAACGTCCCCAGTCACCAAAGCGTGTGCCACGTGGCCACTCACCAAGGGCCTGGCTCCTGATAGTATTAGTCTAAATCCAAAAGGGGATGGTCTTGCTCTAAGTTTCATTAAATACCTGTCCTAGCTTATATTTCCTCCATTCTTAGTTCATATTTAAGACAAAAGCAAGAAATATAAAACAGAGTTATAATTTCAAAATCTGTTAAAACTGGACTGTGTATTAAAATAGATCACGTCAATCAGGCCATTTCTGAAAGGACAGCTGACTATGAACAGTTAAAAACGTAGGAAAGGAATGGAATAGAACAAGCGTTGGCAAGGATGTGGAGAAATTGGAATTCTCATACATTGCTAGTGGGAAAGGAAAATGCTACAGCACTGTGGAAAACAGTTGGGCTGTTCCTCAAACAGCTAAACACAGAATTACCACATATGTGACCTAGCAATTCCACTCCTCCACGCATACTCAAAAGAACTGAAAACAAGGACCCAAGCAGATATTTGTATGCCACTGTTCACTGCAGCGTTACTCACAATAACCAAATGGTGGAAACCACCCAAATGTCCATCCACAGCGGACTGAATAAACAAAATGCAGGATATCCATACAATGGAATATTACTTGGCCATAAAAAGGAGCGAAGGTCTGACACATGCTACAACACGGCTGAACCCTGAAAACATTATGCTAAGTGAAATAAGCCAGAAACAAAAGGACAAATATTGTACAGATTACACTTATACGAGGTACCTAGAATAGGCAAATGAGACAGAAAGTATAAGAGAGGTTATCAGGGACGGGGGGTGGGGGGTGTGGTGCGTGAATGGGAGTTATTGTCTAATAGGTAGAGTTTCTGTTTGGCATGATGAAAAGGTTCTGGAAATGGATAGTGGTAATGGTTGCACAATATTGTGAATGTACTTAACACCACCGCAGTGTGCACTTAAAAATGGTTAAAATGGCAAATTTTATGTTTTATAGATTTTACCACAACAAAATGACAACATTGCAAAAATAATTTATCTTCAGCCAAAAAAAAAAGTAGGAAAGTAATGGGTAGTAATTTAACGTGACTATGAGAACACCCAGGCTTAGATTTTCCTTGTCAAAACCATCCTGACGTACGAATGCACTGCTCTTTGGTGGCATGCCAGACGTCATGGAGGACAAGTACTTCACTTCAAATGAATAAGGAAACTATTTTCTTTAAGGGAAAAAAATGTTTGTTCTGACTGCTGGACCGAGGGAGAAGATAACTCCATTGGTTTTTCCCTGCCTCTGGTAAAGCTGGGAATTAATGCTTGTCTGCTGGGTTCTTGCTGGAGATTTGGGACAGCGTCTTACCCTGAACGTCTGCTCCATTCTCTCCTTGTGGGAAACCTGATCCAGGGTGCCATCAGTCTGACTCCTTTTCAGGCCAGTTGTGATGTCAGGGACGTTGCTGAAATCTACATGAAAAGCGACAAAAAACATACATAAAAGTGAGTTTGGCCATTTGCAGAGAATAGTAATAACTGGCTTAAAGGCTCAGATAAAGAAAAAGAGGAAAGAAAAAATCAACTAACAACCTAGAAGGCGTCACATTGTGGTTCTTAGGACCCTGAAGTTACAACATGCACAGAGCTGGTCTTCTGAAACAAGTGTGGCCTCTCACCGATTGAAGAAGCAACATCTTCTGCCTGTTTTGGTCAAAGGAGACCAATGAGCAATCAAGACAGTGACTTAAATGCCTTGTCACCTTTCCTGTTGCTGTGCAAACTATACTTCACTAAACTCTGATCTTAAATACTTTATTTGGACCAAGAATCAAAGAGCAGTGACTATTGTTGGTACCTCCCTATTTTTGGCTAAGTGAGGGCAAAATTACCAAGCACATCTTGGAAAACCAATAATGTAATATATAGATTCTGATTACAACCCACAACTGGCTCATTTGCAAGCATGATTCTTCTTTTTCTGACATCAACCACAATGCATCCTAAATTGAAAGTGCCAAGAGGAACAGCAAACCTTTGTTAGCTTCCAGAGGAAGGGTTCAGAAATGACATGAACAGTAAGGAGAGCACACAGCTTGCCAGCCTACAGCTATACACACGTCATCCTCAACAATTCTTTCCAGTGGTTCCCAAATTAACAAATTCAAGAATGATGGAAAGATGAGCCTCTATCAAAATAGAGTATAGGTTTCATTCTAATTCTTGTATTTGGTGGACCAGGTAAAACCAGATGGTTTCTGATCCCAATCGGCTACAACAAGAGGCTATCAATCTTGTACCTGAGTTGACTGAGGCTGAAAAAGCATGCATAGATGTTGACAAAGAAACTGTCTAGCATGATGAGGGCAAGGACAGTGGTCTGTAGGAGACCTTTAGAAGCTATGGGAGCTATGGGAGCCCTAGAAAGTTGATAAAACTAATGCATAGGAATGCCAGACTGTGATCCATGCTGATATCACCAATTACTACAGGCACTTGCTTCTAAGACAACGGAGGACCAAAAGAAAACATCTGAATGGTCTACAGAATTCTGGAGCTCCAATTTCTTCTTCCAACACCCTAACCCCACCTAGAAAAGGACTAGATAGTCCAAGTCATACTTCATTGCTATTGGTTATAGAGTAAGTTAGCCCAAATAAGGCTGTGCTGATCACAAATGCATGAGCCATCCCGGGGAAAATTTCAGGTAGTGACAACAAGTCGGGATAACTTGGGATCACCTCTCCCAGGCCCCTAACACCACACCACAGAGGCAGTCCATTTACCAGCAGGTGGACTGCATGGGAAGCAAGATTAGACCCTAAGCCAAAAGTGGTCCACCACTGTTCCCTCATCACTGCCTCCTTAGGCTGCTGTACCTCTATTTAAGGGAGACCAACTGACAGAATTCTCAAAAGAAAAGAGCCTGCATCCTTATTGTATTCAGCATAAGCACACCTTTCCATCCATCCCTTCAACACGCACTGGCTATTTTCCAGGCACTGTTCTAGGTGCTGGGGATACAAAGATGAATGAGATACAGTTGCTACTCTCAAGGAGAACTTCTAGGCTGGCAGGAGGTGACTGGTGAGGGAGGGGAGACAGAGACACGACTACAGCACAGTGTCCCAGATGATGTGAGGAAAGTCCACACAGGGTTGAGTGGGGATACTCAGGAAGGAAGTCACTTGTCTCTGGGACCCTAAAAGGCTTCATAGCAAAGGAGCCACTTGAGCAAAGTCTTTAAATCTGAGGGGTATGTATTTGTTCTTAAAGCTGAAGATGACCAGGCAGGGTGGGCAGTGGGGAGAGGGGATTCCAAGACCAGAAGGCAGCTGAGTACAGGCAAATTGTAGGAAGAGCTCAGCAGATGTGGGAACTTGCTGAGTGTGGCTGCAGCCAAGAGAGTAGGGCAGGGCGGGGAGAGTGCCCTGGGATGGAGGAATTGATAGAGGGCAAGACCTTAGGAGAGAAACAGGTCAGAAAGTCACAGCAACACTGCAGGTACAAGGTGTAGGGACCCAGATGAGTGCAGGACAGAGTCACAGCAAAGAAGTGAAGGGAAGACAAAAGTCTGAGCAGGTAGAGCTGCGGGGCTCCTCTTTGCTACCTACTTCATAGAAGGACATACAAAAAAGAGAAGTATCAAGGCAGATGCCTGATAGGTGACTGGGCAGATGGGGAACAGGGCAGGGTGGCAGTGGGAATCACAAGCTTAGCTTTGGCAATGCTGAGATTGAGACACAGGTGGGCCATCTGACGGCAGGTGCCCAAGAGTCAAGTCACCTAGGAAACCTCTGCACCTGGATGTGGATTTGGAGTCATCAGAATACACCCGTCAGTGAAGCCACAGGAATGGATGGTGCCCCCAGGGAGAATGTGCACAGGGAAGAGGACCAAGGAGAGAACCCTGGAAACACCAATCATAGGGCGCAGGGGAGGAGAGGCCCTCAGAGAAGGTGTCTCTCTTTATAGAGACATCACAGAGAAGTATAAGGAAATCAAGAAAGAGCAATGTCACAGAAGCCATGTAATGTGAAAGTACATTAGCTAGTAACAGAATCAAACTTTCCTTATTGCTGCCTTTACCTTGTAAATAAAGAGCTTTGGTATATCCAGACAGTTGTATCAGGTATAGGAAATAGGACACACAATTAATTGATGCATTTATTCGTGATGACGATTTCTACAACACCTGCCGTACGTCAGGTATGTACTAAGTTCTAGAGATGCAAAGACAAAGGCAACCTCACATCCCCTGAAGATGTCAGAGATGGCATGGGCATAAGGAGCTCTGAAGCCGGCAGAAGCCAGATGGATGCTAGTGAAAATAACATGGCTGATGTCAAAAGCAGGCGCCATGTGAATTCTGAGTCATCCATTCAATATATTCACAAAACTTTGGAACTTAAATGCTGAAAACTCCCCAAACCATGTTTTACCTCTTACAAAGGCAAAAGGTTTACTTGGTAACAGAACGTCTGACATCCTTCCTATCAAAACCCTGCCCAACCCAGGATGAAAGGCTTTGCTATGAATCAGTGAGGCTCCCCTATCAACCTCAGTACCCCTCAACCTCAGGGAGCCGTCAGTGGTGCTTGGATCCTCTCTGAGGCATGAGCTTGGACAGGCTGGATCACAGAAGCCAACTCCCATTGAGGCTGGCCCCAGGGATCCCAGGGGAGGAGGCAGCTCTGAGCGGTCCCTGAGCCTTGCCAAGATAGGAAATCTCAGGGCTGTTCCACCACCCAAATGTCACAGAGGCGGAATGGTCTCTGGGCATAAACAGGATCTCTGTGGTGACTGATTCCTTTTCCAACCCCACCAGCAATGCGCCAAGACTCCTGGAGACGGCAAAGCACAGGGGAAGGGGAAGTGACAGTGTCCATGGCTGCAGATCCCAACTACAGGAGCCTCAGATCTCCCCAGGACTTGTATACCTGTAAAAAGTAGTGTTCCCTTAGCGTTCTTTCTAGAAGAAAAATGAGAACAAAGCACGTTCTGGGAGAATAGCAGACTGGCTAAAAAAAAAAATAAATAAGGGTAGGCCGGTAAAATTTGAATGTTATTTACAAAGCTGTTTCAAGCAGGCCGTGCACTGACATCCTGTCCTGGGCGCTAGAAGCCTATGTATTGCCCCATTTAGACTCTGCCCACGTCCTGAGCACCAGCTGCTGAAGCGAGTAAAGATATCCTTCCCATCCCAACCAAAAACCGGCTTCCCACCTTGGGAGAGCCTCCTCGTGCGGACACGTTCACTGTAACACGTGTTAGGACACTTCGTCTCTATCAGACAATAATAAGCACGTGCTTCTCGCCCACCTCGTGCTCAGCACGCTACAGTACAGATGTTCAAACTCGCTCCAGAAGAGTTTTTGGCCAACATGATTGTAAATAATGAAAAATAACAAAATTACAAATTCAAGTCAAGACATCTATTTATATCTGGTAAACACACCCTTTCGTCCGCCCCTTCTTGTTCCTTGTGGAAATTAAGTATTTGGGGTGAGGTCTAGCCATTTGAAACATCTAACCTCTAACATGATCAACAAGACCTTCTACTCAGCAGTCGCGTGAGAGGAGCTGCATGGTCCCAAGTCACTGTCGCAGGGTCTCCATTTGCTCCTACTCATTCAGTTTATTCACTCCCTCGTCAGATGGGTGCTGAGCACTGCACACCCACCGGGTACCAGGTAATATGTCAGGTGCCACGCATGAAACCAGGGTCAGACATCTTGCTCCTTTAACCAAAACACATTTTTTGGAGAGTGACGACACACCAGGCAGGCTATCCCGGAAGATGACTGCCTCCCTGCTCTCCTGCCCGCCCCACAGATCCTAACAGAAAACTGGGAGTACCAGACACCTAGTAACTCAGGGTCTTCCTGTTCTGTGCGTCAGTACAGACCCCACTAGTGTCACTGTCACCCAGGCAGCTAGCTACCCCAAATCCTTTACAATTAAAGGGCAAAACCTGTGTTCAAGTAACATCCTGGGTATCAACTTAAAAATAGAAACATCAGGAAATGCTAAAGTTAAGGTTGCCTCGCCTACAGAGCTCGTAATGTGAATTCAAAGCGTCATTTCCATCAGTTCCAAATCCAATCTAGTGTAGGTGACGTGCAGGAGTGTGGGCTTTGCCATTTGTTCCCCTTGGCGTTAAGAAGCACCGGGATATCGAGGTGCTAACTCTGAAATGCATAAGGAGGATCTTTTGGAAATGGGTGGCATTGGGAAGGCTGGGGGAGGTCAGCTGGTGTCCCTGCTGGTCTCCTGCGTGCTACTTACTCCTCAGGAGCTCTCGCTCTGCTCAGCAGGCAGCTACAATGTCTGTTCATCTAGCTGATGCCATCCATAATCCCATTCTTGCTGGCTGCCTCCTCCCTGCTCAACCAGTTAGCAAGGGAACAGGCAACAATTTCTTCCCAGTCCCCGGACACCCACCCAGGTGGCTGCCAGCAGAGCCTGGAGTC